ATCACATCTCCAGGATGCTCTATAAACACTAAAAGAAATACAGTGGAGAGATTGAACAGAACATTTTTAAAGGACTCACACAGACACAGAGGGTTCAGAGGGGGCATAAGGGCTTCATGGTGTTCAGAAATGGGTTAGACTGGGGGGAGGGGGGCATGTAGGAATGCATATGATGGCTGGGTGTGCATGTGCGTGTCCTGGTGACACAGCTGGTGATTAGGCTGGCATGTAAGGGGGAGGAGGGTCTTTCTCTGGCATCTTCATCGCCATCTCATAGGTGGGCAGAATGTACTGTACAGGAAAAGCAAAGGAAGTCGTTGGATTCATTCAGTGTCCACTAAAAACAGTAAATATTTTTAAAGCATTAATGTATTCTCTAGAAAACCTGATTAACTTTCTAAATGTAGTAGCTAAACACGTACAACCAATAAATATGGATTCAGGAAAATACAATAAAAACATCCAACTTTCTACATTTTAAGCTAAAAAAAGAAAACGTGGATATTGTGTCTCTTCAGCTAGAATGCGCATATGGCTTCTGAATCCTTATTAACAAATACTAACTTTTCAAATTCTAATTATAATTTCAGGGAAAAACATGACTGCCTTTGTAATGCATTATAAACTGAGAATTGTTGCTTTTAGTTACCTTCAAACGTGGGGAATTTCACGTATTTGGAAATGGACAAAACAACAACAAAATTCTTTCCATCTATTGAGAGTCTTTAACATGATTTAAAGATGTGTGCAGTTACTTATACTCTACATGTGTTCGTAAATATGAACTTTCCAAAACTAACTGGTGCTTTTATAGTCTTTAAGTGTAGATAAGTAAATGCATTTGCTTTTTCCAAAAACTGAGGACCTATGTAGCTGCCATAACACCATTAACATGAAAATATATGTTATTTTGAATGAACATTGACAGTCAGAGCAGCCTTTCTAAAGCATTATTTGTGACAACCCAAATTGTTTCTCAACATGACAAACTTCCTGAATGTGCTTTGTGAGCCACCTGCTGGCTCGACTTTGACATTACACCTATGAAATCTCGTACCAGGACGCCATCATATCAACAAATTAAGTGTCCATAAATATTGACTGCGACTCACGCATACCTGGGGAGGGGTCTCAAAAGCCGGGTACACAGCAATCTCTGGCATGTTCCTGTTGTTGATGTACTTGTAGCAGTTCCACACACAGTTGATCAAGTAAGCCTGGAAGCCATTTACAAAGAGCTACACTTACACATGTACATTAGCAGGTTTTTTTTTTATGCTTGTAAATACAAAAACCTAAAACCTGTTCACTTCAACAGCCAGATAACAGTCACCGACATGCTGATCGGTTGTATTATATGCCGAAGAGCATAATCTGGATTAAATCTTGACAAGCAGGCCGACTGCTTTACCTTGAGAATGATCAGGAAGGCGAAGAAGACCAGCACAAAGAGGAGGAGGCAGCTTGAGTTCAGAGACAGAAGATAATCCTTGTATGGGAAATCCGGCTGAAGGGCAAAAAAAAAAAAAAAAAGTTTTTTTGCAGTTGTGCGATATAAATTTAATTCACACAGAAAAGACTGAAACTTCTGTTGTGACAGGTGGATGGCACTTATTTGCAGACAAATTGAATAAATACAAAGCTAATAATTTAAGATTATCTTTCTGTTGGTGTAACATTGCAGAATCATAAATATTCCTTTTAACGATGTGTTCCTTTAGGAGCACAGTTTGTGTGCACGGAAGCAAAGATTTCTCACGTCATTTAAATAATTCTGTTTTTAATGACCCCAAGGCCTGGTTACGTAAACTGCTTCCAATTAAAAACAGTTGCTGGGTCCAGCTAAATCTCACACTTATCTATTTGTCAACGATAATAATGCGAAATTGCCCGATTTATTAAAGTATCTTCCATAGTAAAACTATTGAGACTGTGAAGGTTTTTTTTTTTTTTTTTTTTACATTTTGTGATGTTGGACTCAAATGTAGAGCATGCATTTGTTTTTGGTTTTTTTTACCCTATTTGCCTTAATACGCCCAAATACAAGCCGGTGTAATCATTTGCCCTAAGAAGTCATTTAATATCTCAGTATAAATGCAGCTGTTCAGTGAAGATCAAAGAAGTTTGCACATTAGTGAATACCAGAAATTCTCACCTATCTCCACTGTAAAAAAAAAAAAAATGGTGGTGTCATCATAATACTATGGGACAAGTAATCTAGTCAGAGCTGCTCAGAAAACAGATGGAGAAACTTTTAAAAGGTTGCCAAGAACTTGACACTGGGACAGAGCTTCACTATGACAGGATGCAGCTTTAAGATGCTTCTCGTCTCCAGCACACCTGATTCCATTGAATGACATCCTGATGAGACAATTCAGCCATTTTACTACGTGCCGCGTGAGCTACGTTCACACGGCAGGTCTTGATGCTCAAATCCAATGTTTTTTCCTGAAACTTTTTTTTTTTTTTTTGTGGAGAATCAAATGCAACCATATCAGATTTAGTACGAAAGAAGCACAAAGGCACAAATCAGGTGAAAAGATCAGAACTGGGGTCGGATATGGGTCACACGTGGGGAAAAAACAGCCGATTTGGGTCACATTTGCCAACTGTGTGAATGTAGCTTCAATGTTGCAGAATAGTAGCCCCCCCATGACTGGACGTAGGCACTCCAAGTTTACATCCAAAATTTATGTCTTAGAACGGCCAAGTCAAAGCCTGGACCTAAACCCAATGGACAATTTGTGGCAGGGCTTTAAAATTGATGTTCAGAAATGTTCTCCATCCAATCTAACTGAGCTACAGCTGCGCTACAGAGAGACGTGTAACTTTCAGTCTGCAGATGTGAAAATCTAGTGGAGATATAATCAAACAGCTTTGCAACAGTAGCAGCAGCTAATGTGAGATTCTACAAAGTGCTGACTTAGAGGGTCTTAAGATAAATGCATGAAAGACTATTTAACTTTTTATGTGTAACAAATTATTTAAAAACTATATTTCTCTATCCTTTAAGATATGCATGACTTTGTGCTAAGCTGTTTTATGTAATCCTAATAAAACACACTGAAAACACCAGCTGTAACATCACAACATTTGAAAATGTTCCCATCAATAAGAGAACCATACAGTCACGGAAAATTGATTCTCTCATACAAGTCATGCATTTTTTTTTTCAAGGAAATACAAGTGATGAACTGTGAGCGCTGCGCAATAATGTTGACTTCCTGTTTACTAATGGGTGAAACATGCTGTGTGGCTAAAACAGGAAATGCTGAATGAGTCAAACAGTCCAACAGCAAAATCATGAAAATCCAGTAAGTGAAAGCAAACATAAAATGACTACAGGTGGAACCCGACAGCGAACTGTTGGGACTGACCAGCTGCTCCAGGTAGTCCCGGATCCTGGGAAGGTAAGTGAGAGAACTGATGGCCACCAGGCAGCTCAGAGCAAAGTCAAACAGCTGGTAGCAGAAAAACGGGATGAGCCATCCATCACGGTGCTGAAGAAGGCGGACACAGTTGGAAAATAGAAGATTAAACGATAACGTGGACACATCTTTACTGAATTTGGAGGGACCAGAATGCTTAATTTCATCCGACCTCTAGACATCATAAAATAACATTCTAGAAATTATTAAAAAGAACAAACTTTAATTCCATCCCTAGGTCTCTTGGTTATGAGGGTTTTTTTTTTTCTAAGGAATATAGATTAGGTTCATATGATGCTAGAAGACATCAAATTAAAATAAGCAAGGTGGTCCTTCCTTTAGTAACTAAGCAGTTTGGATTTTACTTCAAAATAATAGTAAAAAACACTAAGGATGGGACCTACTTCATTTGAACTAACATTATATGCCTAACATTATTTTTCATATCTGGAGATAGCTGCCACGCTATACCAGAAGGGTTTCTACAACACTTTATTGGAAAGTTGTCATAGCGCAGCTAAAGTACGACTTTTGGACAATCTGCATTTGCCTCCTGTTTGCGGTTCGCAGATAGGAGTCGTACTTTAACTGTGCAAACAAATCTAGCAGTTTAATGAAGGTTCATGTGACAAAGCTACCAAACCTGTCCTCCTTGTTGCCATCAGGCAGGCCTGCGAGGTAAACACGACACGCAGTGAAAACACAGCATGGTGTGGAACAAGCCTGATAAATCACAATTCCTTTCAACAACCACTTATAAAAGCTTTATTTTGTGCTAACTTTCACAGGGGGGAAAAAAATGAAGCTGAATTCCTTCCACGGATTATACATTTGCACAGAAAACCCAAGACAAACCTTTTAAAATGTTAATTCTGCCACGACTTACAGTGATTGCTCCGTACACCATCATGGCACTGATAGTGAGCATCAGCAGAGAGATGGCAAATCCAACACAGGCATTTTCTACAAAAGAGCAAGAGATACAATCGGTGAATTCTGGCCACAGTAAAGCCTTGGTGCATGGTAGAGGCCAAGAGTCGAGATTAAGTGTATATTTGCCTGTGCTTTAAAAGAGGCAGCTGGGATTTGCATACTTGACAAGACGGCCAACTCACTCGGCTTTAACAGAGTAGCTCTGGGGAACATTAAGTCGATCTCTTTCAGCAGAGTCAGTAAATATGAAAGACACCGTCTGAGATAATGAAATGGTCTACCTTTCATATCCTCTTTTCTCTCATTACTTATCCTCTCACTTTGTTAAGTCTTGCCGTGGGGTGGCTCGTGCCAGAGCTGCTGCAGTAATGCAGTCTGTATCAACTCTGTTATTCTGTAGCTCAGATAAAACAATCTGTGCATCGGAATGACCCCATCTGACACTTCTAATGTCAGATGGGGTCAAAAAGCACCATCTACTGGAGCTGATAACTTGGAACTACAGTATGAATAAGCTTAGCATTAGAATTACCAAGCATGAATGTGGGGGGAAAAACCTGACTTTAAATCGGTCTTAAATTCAAAGTTTACTCGGCAGGGTTAGAGAACATTCTGTATTTTTGGAAAATTCCAGACAGTGACCTCAATGGTGCTTATATAAGCAACTTTAGTGCAGGGTTCCACGTCAAAGTCCATTCTTTTCCAGGTCCTAACATTCCAAAGTACTCAAAACAATAAACACAAAAGTTTACTATCAAACTATTACTCATATTTCCACATTTAATGAATTCAGTTTATTTAAATAGCTCTGATTTAAAACACATGTCTAAAGGCACTTTACAAAAAAAAAAATCCTAACTTATATACAGAAATATATAGTCAATAAATTCTGATTCAAATCCACCAGTTTGCACACAGAGCAGATATCAAATTATTTTACTTTTGCTTACCGGACATCCTGTCGGAAGCAAAGTAATGGTCAATGACCTCATACTGCAGGTCGATAGTTGGTACGTTCTCTGGGTGCGTCACAGCCACGGTCAGCAGGATTCCCATCAACAGGTTGACCACCTGAATACAGGTAAGCACGGAGTAACGCTTGAGTTCAATTTAAATTAACTTGGGGTTAATCTGAATTCGCTTTCAAAGCTCCATGAAGTTCAAGCTGCAGATAATGCATTAAGAAAAAACAGGAACTTTAAAAAGGCAACAAGCGCCTTTGTTGAAACCAGAGAACACTAAGAAATTATGACACACAGGAGAATAGACAAAAGGAAAAAGGGTCCATGTGGGTTTTTATATATATATATATATATATATATATATATATATATATATATATATATATGAATGACGAGATGTGAATTTAATTCGATATAAAAGTAATTTTGACTGGCCCTTTAAATAAGAAGGAGGCTCTAGAGAGCTGGGAGAAAATTTAAGAAACTAGATTAATTCTACATTTAATAAATAAAAAAAATCTAATATTTCATCACAGCAGCTCCTGGAAAACATTTTTACTTCAGTGTGGTAAGCAGATACAAAAGTTTGAAAATGTAAACATGCCATCCTGCTTATAGCAGTTAATCCAATGAACATAAACATATCTATGTCAGCATACAACAGTCTAGACAAAGTAAAAAAAAATACCAGCTAATGTTCTGGTAACTGCACAATACCCCATCCCCTCCCTCCATCATCTGCAGATAACAGGATGACTAAACTGAGTTCAGCTGTAATTTGTTAACTGGAAGAACAAAAACTCAGGAACAAACATGTTTATTCAATTGACATAATATTGCAGATTATGGTAGCTTGGCTAAGTGAAATGACAAAGCTCCATACTACACAAGCAGATCATGCGCCTCATTAGGCTTTCAGAATAACCAATAGGGAATAAATAAAACAAATATTGGGGTTCATCTTAAAAAACATGAAATGCTTCTGCAACAAAACCTTCCACTAGTTAGCCAAAGCAGGTCTGGAAGTTAGTTTGAAAGGACAAAGTATAGTAGTTAAAGAACATAGGCAAAATGACAACAGTACTGAAGAACAGATAAACAGATGAATAAATAAACGAATATATGGATTAAGGGTTGAAGGACATATAGATAAAGACATAAGCTGGAGAAAGTCTATTTTTCCGGTGTTTAAAAATGCTAATATTTTTCATTATAATATGTGCTTCTGCTGATTCTTATCTTATTATCTGACGATCGTCATGCAGAAGTTAGAGGAATATCGGCTAATTAAGCCCAATGTCACAGGTTTGACACATTTAGATCTCACATAAATACTTCCAACAACCATGCACGGACAGCATTTGGTGTAAAAAAGTTCTTGAATTTTATGCCTAATATTACACTTGAGCAGGCTCATCCACGAGAAACGCCACATAAGTTAGCTAGCTATAGCTAACATTAGCATCCCGTTAGCGTCACTTCGACATAAAACAGGCTTTTCACGCTCGAATGCTGAGGCTATGAATGATTTAAATACACATGAACAACCAAAATCTAATCAGAACTGAGCAGTAATCTTAAATAAACTGCAAGGTTAATGTAACTCTTTAATTATGTAAACTTAACAGGCGAACGACGCAGGCTAACGCTGGCGTATTGACCGTTATCGAGAACCATCTTACGCACCATATACCATGTTCCCAGGATGATAGTCCCGGTCCGAACATGGCAACATCCACAGCACCGGGTGGTGTACAGTCTATCTCGGCTTGGCTTGAAGTGATGCATGTCCTCTACGAGTGTAGGGAGAAACATCTGGAGAGTTGGCAGGAAACGTCGGAAAAAATCTTCTCAGCATCAACAGTCAGCTAACGACCGCGGAGAAACGCCCACCACTACCCCCGGCGATCTGCGGCTGCGCACAAGGTAGAGTTAAAAACAAACCATCTGTCGTAACGTCAGTCTACGTTCCCCCATCATTGTTCTTAGCTTTTAAACTTCAATAACATTTTAAATAATACAATGCAAACTGTAGCGGAACTGTATGTCAAAATTTAAAGCATAAACAACAGCAATGGTACAAGGGAGGCTAGATAAATTTCAGAAGTGTAATATTTACGATGTTCTGGAAAAACTGTCATTTAAAAGGGGTCATTTTAATTGATTGTGTAGAAGAGTGTCTATTCGAGAGAATAAATGAATATGTCCTCTTTATGAACCAACTGTTGTGATTTTGTTGATCATTGTATTAATTATATTCTCTATGTGAAATTAGTGCTTTGTCTCCACGAAACTTGTGTTCCCACATCTTATCTGTTTTGAATAAAACACCCAGAGAAGAATCAGTTGGCTTCCATCTTCCCTAAATAAAAGTATGTGAAAACTTTTTATTACTTGACAGTAGTTGTGGATCATCTGACCTCTTGTAAAGTTAAGATTAAAAAAAGGTTATAAACATTCAATATTGAAAATGTGAAAATGCAGTGAGCCCTAAGGGTCTGGTAGTTTATGCAACATTAAAAATACATAAATAATGCAAATAAACAAATTTATTAAATTCCTTTTTTAAAAAGGAAATAAGCAATTTATTGTCTAAAGTGCAATAATATACCATTCCTTTAGTGTACATGTGATCATCTGTTGCAAAGGATGCATTTGCAGCTACAAAAATACTTTTAACATCAACATGTGAAAAGCTCAGTCCAGTCTGCTTGATTTATCCATTCAGTTTAAGGCTAATCTGTTGACAATTCTTTGGATTAGCCAAAAAATAGAATAATGCAAAACATGTAGGAGATTTTATTTTAGGCTATAGGTAGAACATATTTACAGATGAAGAAGGGTTTTCAACTTGTATGCAAAATATATAGATGTTTTTGTACAGTTCTAGCTCAGTATCCACTCTGACTGTGTGGTTTTTCAAAAAACGGCATTTTCAGAGTCTGTATTGTCCAGTTAAAAATTACTTTAAATTTTTAAATGGACTCAAATTAATCGATGATTACTTCAATAATCGAGTCATCATCATCATCATCATCATCACTCTGATTAATTGTTTCAGCTCTGGACTTCACTACCTCTCCCATTACACAATCATCATTAGAAGCTACTATTCGTTCCTGTGGAATGACTATCCATGTTTTGACAAAATGAACGTCTGAGGTAGGACTGGGAAGTTTTGAAGCTGAACCAGGAAGTGGTGATGCAGTGAAATTTGCCCCCTGCGCATAGTGATGATCCAGCAAAGCAGTGGCTGCATTGATCTTGTTCTTTTTGCGAGATCGGTACTTCGCTCTTTGATATCTGTTGTAACAAGACGGAAACGGGAATCATTCTCATATTAAGGCACAATAACAATAAATGGATGACGTATCTAAAATAATGCATTACCATCATGACACTGTGATCTGGATTTAATTTGGGGATATTTACTTGTATTATACATTTAGTTAATTATATATCAATAATTACAGTCACAGAACAAAAACTTTTTCCCATGTATTGTTAATCAAATTACCGTTACCACATAATTTGATTGCAAAAGCAAATCATGTACCTTTTCAAATTGGCTTCAGAGAGTCTCCTTCTAAATTCAATTTCCTCAAGAGTTGCTTCTTTGGTCAGCTTCAAGGTAGGGGCCCAATCTGGGTTGGATCTGTCGTACAAGTCTGCAGGTTTGCCTACAAAGTACAGTTTTTCCACAGCAACCAGTTTAATACTGACTGACAGCATTGACAATATGGTTATTTTCAGAAACAGTTTAAAAATGTCCTTACCACTAATAAAGTGATCAGAGCAAATCCGTGATGTACTGGACGGTTGATCTTTCCTGCGGATATTAGTTAGCCACACTCGTCGACGCTCGATGCTAAGTCGCAAAGTTTGCTCACCTTCTGTTGTCCTGACTTTGGGGATGTAGTGAAAACTCCTCTTCACTTTTTTGTCGCCTCTGTTCTTACACCCTTTAACCCAACAATACACCACCATCGCGGTTCTCTTCGTGCGGTCAATTTAGTGGAATGCTTCTTCTTCTTCTTGGTTTTTATTGGCGGTTGGAAAGAAACGTCGTGGAATGCTGATTACTGGTTCTTCGTACTATCGCAATGGCGTCGGGGTATCCGTGTGTAATGTTATGGGAAACATAGTAAAACTCCTCCTTTTCCTGCTGAAGTGCATTGTGGGATTAGTTGTTCTTTTACCAGACTCGTGTGGTTCAGTCGTGGGTGGAGGACCAACAACCATTGTAAGGACGAATAACTTTATATTAAGCTTGATGAATAATGATCTTCTGAGTAATAAAGATTAATATAAAGAAGTATTGTTAAATCTTTTGATGGAAAACTCTGTAAAGTATCTCAAATTAAATGTATTTTATTTATAAAGTGCAAATTCACAACAATTCTTGCCTAAAGGCTCAGTACCAGTGGCCATCTGCTTGCCACGCTTTTATCAACTGTGAAATATCTTTTGAAAATAACTTTTAAGAAGGTATTAAACATATTTCTTCATTAAGCCCATATTTCTGTATTAAATTTGTTTTGCTTTTTTAGTATGATGTGATACTGTCATAATCACCAGGTTTTGTTATCTGTATGAAAACATGAAATATGTTTCACTTTGTGAACTGAATGCCTAAAATTAATTAACTTTTGACATTTTGATTTATTAAATATAACAACATTAAATTGCATAATATGATCTTCTTGGTTCTAAGTACACTTGGTCCTGAGAAACAGTTACACAGACTTTTTTTAAGTCTTAACACTTTTCTCAGGAGATATTTACCATTCTTTCTTTTTTAAGTCCAGTCCAGATAGCTGACTATTTCCAGAATAATGCATTTTTGTTTGCATGGACTCACAACACACAGTCAGCCTCAAGAGTTCACAATTCAAGTGATGAACAAGCATTGCATTCACACAAAAACTACTTTAAGCATCTTAAGACAAGATTTGTTCCCATTTCTTTAAGTGCAAACAAAAATGTGAGAAAAAAAATGATCACACAGTTTTAATATTGCACAAATTGTCAATTCTTATAAGTTTTCATGCAATATATTAAGGCACATCAATTAAATCATGCACACCAAGAGAGACATTATACAGGAAGTAGTACCTTATAAAACATTAAAAATCCAGTTATATTGAAGACTTTTTAACTTATATTGTACAATTTAGCCAAATAAAGGGTAATGGTGAACATTTTTGCACCGCCCTTTTAGCACGGATCAGCCCATACACAACTGTACGTAAAATGCATAGAATCAAACAACTACCCATTAGTTCTGACTTTTAATGACACCATAATTTTATTTTTGTAAGTGAAAGAAAGCAAACAAAAATACATAAAACCAACATCTGGAACGTGCAAAAAGAGCACTGAGATTTCACTAGAAATCTAGGTATTACTATTTCTCAGGAATCTCAGTGACAACACAAACAACATTTTAATGTAGTAAAAACCTAAAAGGCTCTGAAAAAGAGATACAAGCTGCCACAAGTCCCACCATTTTTCCTTCATGCTTTATATGGTGCTACAAAAACAATAGAAATTGCTACTGACTGATAAGTCAAATCGTGCATTGCATCTCATTTCAAACCGATATAAAGGATTACACAGAACAGACAAAATCCAGGATAAATAGTCAAAGCTTAGCTTAGCAGTTATTGATCTTTATACTTCTAATGAAAACTATACACATATTAGATATTTCTAAAACAGAGCCAGAATGAGGTCCTTGAAACATTTTAATCATGTTTTATCACAGACAACGTTATATTAACAGATACAGTGCCCCCAGGAAGTATTCACACCCCTTCTTTTTCCACTTATTTTGCTACAATACAGTCTGATCCCAAAATAGATTTTATTTTTTATGGAAAATTTGCACAAAAATAATTCACATGTTTTATGGTGTTTTTGTAAAAAGAAAATCTAAAAATGTTAACATTATTGTAACTGATCTCGATGCATCTTCACCTCTGCTAAATTTAATATGTCGGACATGATTTGGAAATGTACAATCTCGCATAAAAAGGTCTCAAGGTTGACAATTCGTATAGCAGAACTCAACCAACAAATTCAAAAGAAAGGTCAGTAGACCTCTGAGATTGTGTTGACGCAAAAATCCGGGAAAGGATGTAAAAATCTAGGCTCTTAAGTACTCAAAAACTATTTTAGAATGAAAACTGTTAATGTAGGAGAAAGTGAAAGGGTGTGAATAATTTTTGATAATTTTCTCCTTTGAGAAAATTCATTAATAGCAGCTCTCCACAATCAGGAGGACGGAGACACCCTGTGGTGTTTTAAAGATTTCAATCCAACCTGGATGTGACAGTTAAATAAAAGTTACTTCCCGAGTGGGTTTGTGGTATTCTTCATTTGAAGCCTTGTTCTTAATATGTTCTTCTTTGTGTTTCTTCCTCCATTTGTAAATCAGGATCGCTGATAGCAGAACTCCTATTATTGCTCCAGTTACTCCCCCCGCAGTGGCAACTGTGGACGCAAACCAAGCAAACTGAGCTAAATTCAAATTCACACTTTACAGCTTTATCACTTTCGGTGTGCATGCATCCCGCAGTACCTGCAACGATCTCCTTGTTTTCCAGTAAGCTGTTGTTGTTTGAGATAACAATCAATTCTGTTGCAGCGTCTCCGTCATGCCTGTGTGATCTCCCCACATTCAGCACTGACGAGCTCTAAAGCAAAACAGAAAGACATTGCATAATTTCCTGCATAATCAACCACATCAAATGCAATGAAGCAGGATATATCTTTTTTTTTTTTTTAAATGGGTCATACTTTGGCAGAATTTGTGTTTCCATCTACAGGGTTTGGTACAATATCCGGGTCAGGATTGTTGTTGGTCCCTTCTTTGGAGATTTGTAATTTCATCAGGCGAGAAAACAAATAAGAAACAAGGACAAACATGTTTTGAGAATATTTAGTGAAAGAAATGAAAGTGATTCTTTATAATAGTCGGTCAAAGGAAGCGCTTGAATATACTTTGTTCTGGATCATCTCCGGAACCAGAACCATCCAGGTCATATCCAGATCCCTCCCAGTCCTCTGGAGGTCCAGAAAGCTTATTTCATGGAAGAAAAACATGAATATTTTTAGCATATAAACAAGTCACTGAATAATACAAGGTTATAAGGAAGATAACAAAGCAATAAGGAAATGAATATTGCCAAGGAGACAAACTTCCCCTGACAATCCCATAATGATCAGATAGTCATCACCAGTAAACACTCATGAGCAGATAACAGTGGGTGATTGCATAACTCCACTCATTTAAGTTAGCCACAATTTTGGGGGGTTTTGCAAATTAATTTGCAAACCAGAAGCAAACATAATTGCAGATGTTTAAATATTGTTTACATGTGGTCCGTAAAGAACTGATAAATGGAGAAATGCATATCATAAAACTGTAAGAGCAGCACATACTTATCAGGAAAATATCATAGGACGTCATGATCTGTGTCAGACTTCCCACACCCACTAACTGCTCTACAATAAACCTAGAGAAGCTACAGAAACTGCTTATAACTATAGTGCAGTTCCAAACAATCCACACCCTTTTACATCTTCTAAACTTGCACATATTTTATTGGGATTTATCTGTGACGCACCAACACAAAGTATTGCACGATGTAGAATGAAAACTGAGCCTGGACATCAACCTGAACACACCGGGGTGATGGCAGCATCATGCTGTGGGGATACTTTTCTTTAGCAGGGATAAGGAAGCTGCAAGTTGGTTAATATTGATGAGCAGATGGATGGAATTAAATGCATTAACAATACTGGAGGTAAAAATTAAAAAAAAGGGTTGAGGCTGCAAAGATCAAACTGGAGCATTAAGAGAATGACCGTAAACAACCAGAGTTTCAAAAGAACTGCTTAGATTTAAGCACCTTCTTATGTTATGATGGCCTGGTTAAAATTCAGATGTAATTGCAATTAAGAGGTAATACTGAAATAAAAGTATTTTTTCAAAGATGCTTTGAATATGTGTTACTTTGTGCTGGTCTGTCACATAAAATTCTAATAAAATATACTGAAGATTGAGGCCGAAGCATGGAAAAAATAAAAAAACATCCCTATAAGCACACATTTTTCCGTTTTGCTTTAAGTTACAATTCAAAGCATAGCAAAGAAAATGTGATCAAACATCTTCTTTCAGCTTTGTGGCTATAACGTAAGAAACAAATCTATGACTTGTGAGAGGTCAGCCATTTCTAACTGGCACGTTGTGACAGCAAAAAACAAAACAAAGCAAAAAACAAAACAAATAAACCTTGAATTTCCTCAATTCAAAGTTTCTTAAAACTTTAAAGTGAAGTGTACTATTTAGGTTTAAAAACATATGATTAGTAAAGCATATAACAGATGTATATCTCTGACTTGCATTTACATTTTTGCAAGATCTGTGAATGAAAAACGTAAGGTGTGTCAGGACAGCATTCTTTTGAGTTCTAAAAATATATAAGTGCATACATTACAGAATAATAAAAAACAAGTTTTCTCACATATATTTATTTAATTGCACTTCATTAAAAATATGTGATCAATCGTTTTTGGTCCATAAAATGTCAGTGAAATTAATACATAGTTATTTTTCTGTAAATTAGATTTTTATTATAATATTTATTTGCCCATGATCTGTGTTTTTTGTTTTTGTTTAAGCCTGGCCCGTGAACAAATAGCATTATATGAGTCAGCACATCGACCTTCTCAATAACAACAATAATAATAATAATAATGAAAAACAGCATAAGTCGTAAAAGTAGATTTGAATAAGCCAGTGAGTGCCTTCAGTCACTGAAATGTAGCTTTAGTTGGGAAGTTTAAAACTTCCAAACTGTTTTAACTCGGAGACATTTTTGGCTCGAAGTTATTGCTGAACAGGAAGTGAGAGAGGTAAGCGTGAGACGAAGGTAACCACCATGTCTCCTCTGTTTAATAAGATTGAAAGGCAGAAGGTGACTTACCGACACCCTTTCAGGAAGGATTAATCCCAGTGCTAAAACCACGGACACTGTCAGGGATAACCGCATCTTTAGGCTGAGTTAGAGTCCCCTTTGTCAACGAGTCTCTCGGCTCCGTGTAGAAGAACTATAATAAAAAAATAAATAAATAAAAAACTGTCTACTGATCCAGCTGGTTTCGACCTCATAAACCCCACCCACCGTGAAAATGATCACACACTGTACCTGATGGGAGGAGACTGTTTTAATAAAGGTTGGCTTGTAAGCCAATAAACAGCGCCTTGTACAATTTACTGACATGCAGATGGGCTTAAAATAACGTCAGCAGAAACATAATACTCTGCTTTTCTTTCTGAATAAAAAAAATCACCCTTTATTCTGAGAACTTTGGTTGCATCCCGCATTAAGTAATTAACTTTGATTAAAATCACTTGCACAAAAGCTGTGGGCAATTGTAGGTGTATGTTTTGGCTCAAAGGCTCGAGAATCTTTGTAAATTCACTATATATATATATATATATATATATATATATATATATATATATATATAAGAATGTGTAGTATTTTAAAGAGTTTCTGCTGTAGTGCAGTCTAACAGTTGTTCTTTTGAGCAACATCCCCACACATCCTCCATTATTAGTATGCTAAACGATGTGCATGAAGTGTTTTCCCCTAGGGTCAGGTTTTTATTTTACCTTCCTTGATGTGTAGTAAATGTTACTCAAAGCTTTTCAAATTATGGCTCTGTTATAAATATGAGGAAGATGATCCACATGAGAACAAATCTGCATTACCTCAATGCTATGTAATCATGACTTCCCAATTTTGAGAAATGGCCATAGGACAGAGGTCTGAAAGCTTCACCATTCAAAGGTCCATTTCTGCAGGCAGTTCACCTAAATGAAATTGTTTGGAGTTGCAAATGTAACATGGTCGTTTGAAAGATTACAACTTATATTTTTTGATTATCTCCTACATTTAAAACTGCTTTATTCCTGTGTTTAGGCTTCAAAGTAAATAAACTTTTACAAAAAAAAGAGGATGGATACATTTTCCTTTATGGGATATTTAAAAAAGGCATTGTCAAGAAATGCTTGCTGCATTGACAACTTTAATGAATAGAAGTGCCTAAGTCTGTTTTTTGACAAAAAAAAAAATATTTGTAGTCCTGTTGGCTATAAAATTAAAATTAAAGCAGTGAAAACAGTCTAAGGAAAGAAATACATTGTGTTGTTGCAGCTATCATTTTCTATTAAGTTTTTAAAATGGCCAGTGCCTTTTTTGAGAAGTATCAAAGAAAATCTGCTCCCTCTGTTGGCATATCAAACTTTTTTTTTACCAGTCTTTAATTGCAGTCCAGAGACACGTATTATTAAGGTCACAAATGGCCCACATGCTGCACTTTGAACCCCTTTTCCCCCCCAACTCAAAAACTGAAGAACCACAACAAATGGATTGAAATGTTAGAAGAACAATTTAATCATACATAGTCACAATTCTGCTTCCAAAAAAAATGAGTTTGTTTTCTTCATCTAACATCTGGAAATGTACATAAGGCCACCTGAAAATGTACATGACTGACAGTGTGACAAAAACTCATATGTTCATATTTATATAATTGACAATATTTTACATTGCTTTTGCTTACAAGGTTGTGGCTGTTCCAAAACACAGCACTCATCTGTACAAAAATAATTCTCGTCATATCTTGTGAAGTTTCCATGGTAGCAGAGAGGACTAAATGCAACCTCGATTTTAGTAGACTGTCACAAATTAGAGACAAACGGTTGATGTTTCAGCTTCAGTACAAATAGAGGCTGGCCTTTCCATAACAGATTAAAAAAAAGAACAAACAAACAAAAAAATCATGCCAGATTGCAAAGCCATATTTTTTTTTTCCTTTTAAAATACCACTTGATCAAATAAAACTGTATACATTATATTCAAGGGGAAAGGAGTGATGAATATACACACACATATCTAAATGCACAATTTTTGCTTCTTTTTTTTTTTCCTCCCCTCAAAGTGTAAAAGACATCCCATTTACAGCATCAACGTTTACAAATGTACAACTGTACAGACGAAATAAAAGCATCACTACAAATTTAGAGCAAAGCCTGTCAAAAAAAACACCACAGCTAAACATATTTTTGATTTAACTAATAATCTTACACTTATTAACTGCACATATACTACATGTAATCTACAATTCATAAGAAGCAAAGAAGCCATCACTACGAGCATTACAGGTGAATTGTATAAGTCTTGATGGCCTTCGCCGGCCTCCACCGCTGCACTTGCAAACCCAACCAAATGAAAAAAAAAAAACCCTATTTATATATATTTATATATTAAAAAGGAAAAAAAAAAGATACAAAAAGTTATTTAAACATCCCTTTCCTTAAATCATCTCACTACTTCTAGTTCATTTCACCTCGGACAAAAAGATGGGATGAGCTCCACATCACTTTTTTTTTTTTTATCCCTTTCCTGTCTTTTGGACTCTGCTCTGACCTTCTAATCGGTGGGAGTTTCATCCTCACTGCAAGCCGCCTCCATCCCACCTAATAAGCAACAATTTTACTCGTACATAAAGATGCTATACGTCGCTCAACTACTTCTACGCAAGAGATGATTATTCAGTACGTAAATATACTGTTTTCTAGGGCAGTAATCATCTCCAACTACGAGACAGATGTTACACAAAACATGATAAAAAAGGGGGGGGGGGAAAGAAACAACAAAACAAAATAATCATTCCAAGGATTAAAACCCGTCAAGGCATGCGAACGCATTTCCTGCCCCCCAACCCTGCTATCCCCTAGGTAAAAGCTCTCAAGTTAAGAATAAACCTGCTGTACAACCAAACCTCATGCTCCACTTCTTCTTTTTTTATTTTTTTTTAAATCAATTTGTAGCTCTTTATTTATTTATTTTTTTTTTTTTACTTTCATTAACCCCAGAACGACAAACTGCATGAGAGTAAGAACGGCTCAAAAGAACGGGGGCTCCATGAATGCAGCAGCTCGGACTTGTCCATAGTACCGAAACGCGAGGCCGACTCGGAGCTGCTGGAGTAAACACGCGGCTCCCCCGACAAAGTCTGGAGGCGAGAAAAAGCCACAAGTGGAACATGAACCCAAGACTAAAGCACCAATCCCCAACGGCGAGCTGAAGAAAAAAGGGTCTGGAGGACCTCAGGGCGACTGTGGCACACACTGCTCACCCCCCCAAAAAAATCCATAATCTTTAGTGCCGTTTGAAAACTAACTCATTTAGCTGCTTTGGCATGTGAAAAAACACTTGTACTGTGCGTGGGATATTATACAAATATAAAATTCAATCACCTAGAGCTCCATCAGGACAGCTGACATATTAATTCTGGCTAGAAAAACAATAGGAATTGTGTTTCAAAAGAATCACTCAGTTTTGCTTTATAAAGTCACTTGCTGGTGTTAATTGTAAGAATTGTAAATTTCAGCAAATGTGTAATAATTTCTTTTCTTTTTTTTCTACAGAGAATTTACAAGGTAAAAAAAAATTAAATGTACAATATGAAAACCAGTCAAATACATCGATTACATCATTAACAACGGGCTTGTGCTTTACCCAGGAAAGAAAAAAAAAAAAAACCTAAACAAAAATCAGAAGGTAGCCTGCTGACTGTGCGGCCCCTGGGTACTTTTTCAGGGGTGGCAGAGTGGCAGGGGTCAGTTGTCACAGCATTCTTAGGTGAAATTGACTTGTCTTTTTGTTTTTTGTTGTTTTTGGTAAATAGCCCCCCAACCCAGAGAAGAAAAGGGATGACCGATCGCATCAAAGGCCTATGGCTAAAGGAGCAAGGTCTCACAGGACAGGGGGTTTGGGCTTCACACTCCTCCGCTTCTTCAGGGGACCCAGAGTGTCGATTACATCAGTCCGTTTGTGGGGCCGCCGATGGGGCCGAGTTCAGAGCCGCCGCTCTTCATGTAGTACTTTTCTAGTTTAGCCAGAATGTGCTTCCCGTATGTGTACTTGCGCAAAGTGGCAATGTGAGGCCGGATCTAAGACGAGGAGACACAAGAAAACCCATTAGAAAAAAATATAATTATTATTCAACTTCAAAACAAGACAGAAATGGGAAAAATACCAGATGTTTCTGATAAACATCAGAGAGTTTTGGCTTCGTAAATCATAACTTTTTTTTTTCTTATTCATTTTTATTTCTGCAGACCGAGATGGAATGATAAATTAGAAAAAAGTTGAATAAATACATCATAATTACTACTTCCTTGAATCACTTGCAGACATAAATTTCACAAACTCTTCAAACTTTTCTCAACTCTAAAAATGAATCACTGATTAGCTTTGTGAACACAGATTTATTAAATTTTATTCATAACAATTTATTTGACTATTGCTTCAAAGGAGAGAGAAAAAAAAAAGGTGTCATGTTATGCCTTTACTTGTTGGGGGAAAAAAGGAGTGGCACAGAACAGCAGGTGATTGTGAAAGATGGCTAAGATCTCTTAAGCTTTTGAGAATGTAGCTTAAAAGGTGAGGGGAACTGAGTCATGAGCAGCTGCCCTTCTGCTTTGGATGACTGACATGTTGTTATGACGTCATGCACTGCTCACACACGCTGCACTTACCTTGTGCATGATGATTTTCCTCTGAGCAGGCTCTGCCATGTCAATCATTCTCTGGACAACGTAGTTGGCGTACTGGTCCTTCATCATGGTGTACAAGGCGCTGTGGGGCCCGTCTTTCTGGCAGCACACCTCGTCTATCAGAAGGGCCCTCTCTGCACGCGAGGAGTGGATCACACACTTCTCCACGACGTTACTGGGGACACATGAGGTACTGTTACAGACAAATCAACACCAGAGCGAGGGCACGGTTTAAGTGTAAAGGTGAAATCTGGTCTGGATGTTTTCCTTCCCCGATATGTGGTCAATACAATTGACAGAGATCCAACAAAGTGTTTCACCTTCGTGTCTTATTGCAGATTATCAATTAGATAAACCTATTTCGCAAATGATTACTGCTCTTTGTAGGACTACCGAGTGCACTCCAACATTTAAACAAACTTCACCTCTACCAACTTCAGAACCTCCAAGAAAGTTTGACTGCAAGAAACTCCGATGCTCCTGCGTATTTGGCCCTCACTAAATCACTTCTCCCCCCGCTGCCTTCCTGACTGTCCCATCACTACATGCGTCATATCTGCACTATAAAC